GCATGTGGTGTAGAACATAGAGATAAAGATGTTTACTGTTTACGCCAAAAACGACAATGACCATCACTACGTACTTCTTGACTATAGAACACACCTTAAACAGAGAGTTAGGACCACATTAATGCCAATGTGAAACAGAATTTCTCAGAACAGCTTCCACTCTACCAACATCACTTCAGTCGAAGTGTGGGCAAAACCCTGTCTATGAATGTAAATTGCCACTGTCTGGCAGAAACCCAAAGCGACACCGACACAGAGGACATATCCAAAGAATTTCCTGGCAATTACTGTAAAATACACTAACTGTAGAAACTAAACAGAAATTCTTATGCATTTTAATGATATCAATACTATTTCCATTTAACATTCAATTTTAAAGATTTTGGTTTTAATTTTCACTTTGCAAAGTGCAATCCCACTCGAATACTTTTTAATATGGCATTTCAATATTGGTGATTTGCCAGATTGGGTCTGGACCAGTTTTCTTGCATGATTTTACAAAAACAGAAGAGAACAGTTAATGAGTAAAACTGGTGATGACGGCATAGTTGACCACTGAGCTACGTCAGTTTGTTTAACCATTGTTTCAGCTCACCACAGAAGAACATTAGCAGCTGACCATTCCCATCCTATCAGGAGCAAGAAACAAAGAACAGAAACCTTGAGAAATGAAGGACATGAATTTTCCAAAATTGCTTTCAACAAATAATTTGTATGCACCATTTTGTTGCCCAAGACATTTTTCTAATGGAAGTACTGATTTGGAAATTGGTTTCATGTCAAGGTCACAAAAGAAAATGGTTTCATAAGTAACAATGAAGGATTTGGAAAAGAATGATGAAATTCTTTTTAGCCTACAGGGTTGACAGTCAAATACAACGTCATCTAATTTAGAAAAGAATCTGGACTCAACCCAAGGCTGCATGTTGTCAAAGTACCTTTGTAGATCAGCTTCTAAACAGAGTTAGTATGAATGGAGCTAAGCACTGTGGAATTGATCACACTTGATCTTCTGGAAGGGATGTGTTTGAGGAAGCAGCTGAAGAAAAATGGACCAAGAGGATATCCCTCAAACTCCTGTAGTGATATTCTGGAACTACAATGATTGGCTATGGACAACCATGGTCATCTTAGAATCAGATACAATTCCAGCCGTTTGAGAGGTTTGCCTTTGATCCTCATTGTGCACAGCAGGTCATTCAAATGCTGCATGCTGAATTCAACTAAGCAACATCACCTTGCAATACTGATGAATGATTAATGTCCATTTAAACATGGTACTGTGGAATGTCTGGCATTCACAAAAGTACATTCCCTAAGATATACAAGAAGAAAGAATAATGGTTGACAAAATTGGCAAGATAGAAAATAAGATTTGTGATCTAGCATGGCATTAACCAAATATATTTTCTCTCTTTCTGAGTACTGCCTTTTCTCACATAGGAGAATTATTTTGAAAATAGGGCATAAATATAAGACCAGTAAGCTGTTTCACCCATTGAGCCTGCTTGTTATTCTAAGATCATGGATGATCTGAGACCTGTTCCACGTTTGCCCACTATACCAGGATAACAAAAATCAGTATAATCTTTTAAAATTAACAACGATCATTTGGGGATGGGATCCAAAACTCTACCATCCTTTCTGGAACATGCCTCTTAATTTTACTTTTAGATGTCTGGCTTTAATTTGAAGTCTATTCCCCTAGTTCTAGATAGCCCAACAAATAAATACAGTATTTTTCCCCTGTTATACTCTACCTGTTCTCCTTAATATCTTGAATAATTAGATCAAATCATTCATTAATCGTATAAATTCATAGCAAAGAACCCCTGGAATTGAGTTATCATTATGATGAATCTATACTGCACTCCCTCCCAGGCCAATAAACCCTTCCATAGATGTGGTGCCCAGACTACCTGCATGACTTCAGATGTTAAACCAGTGTTTTGTTTAGCTGAAGCATGTCTACCCACTGGTATTCTGGTCCTCTAATGATAAAGATCAGCATTCCATTAGCCTTTTGGATTACTGTCTGCATTTCTTCACGATATTTAAATCATTTAAATAGACCCCAAGTCTCTCAAGATATCCCCAACTTCAGGCTTCTTACATTTGGAGAGTTTTTTTAAAAATTAAGGTCCATTGTGTAACATTTCTTATTCGGAATAAAAAAAAAAAATCAACCTCCAAGGCAACACAAGAGTTCAATACTGATCTAAGAAACAATTTTAAAAAAGAAACAAACTGTTGTAATTCAGGGAGGAGAACAAATGCTCCATTTAAATAGGCAAAAGTTACTGTTTGGATTAAAATATCCATTTTATCTGGTCAAAGTTTACTATTGGGGATGAGCTTCAATGAGCAGATTATTTTCCTTCTCCCTGATTTGCACGACTGAACATATTCAAATGACCAAAAATGCTTATTACTGTTGTTGCTGAAATCCATAAGATTTACTCACTCTACTGAACGGATATTTGGTTGCGTATACTGACATCTAGTGGGAAGCCTTTATGTGCTAGCCATCCATATAGTTTAAACAACAGAGTTCCTTTAAAATATGAACTTATACTCTTATCTTCAAGGGAAAAAATAATATTAGACAACAGAAAAATACTTCTCCTTTTGGCTCCGTCCAGCTATCCTGATGAGTACTTGGAAAGCATGACCTCAAGGACAGTAAAACTTACCCACTAAAGTTGGGTGAGAGACCATCTTGAACATTTTTGTTACTATCAGGAAGTGATTCTAATGAAGGGTTCCAATGAGTAAAGCTAATGTGGTAAAAGTTAAAGTTAATTTATTTGTCACCAATGGTTTAGTGAAATTCAGTGGAATAGACACAGGAACAGTGTCAGGGGCTGGAGAAGTAATAGCACTGTAATCAGTACATAGAGAATTAGGCCACTGAAGGAATTAATTCAGAAGTGACTTTAAAGGGTTGGACAACCAGAAAACGTACAAGGACGGCAGTGACAAATCACTGATTTATTGCAAGACTGGCAGGATTATAGACAAGCTATTATTCCAGAAAGGAAAAGCAAGGACTGAATTAACATACTTGATATGAGAGTTTTGAAGGCAGAAGAAATTAATATTGCAATGAAAGCAAGTGGTTTTGGTGATGTCAACAGCAATTCTGGAACAAACAGAAGACTCCTAAAATTGGTTCAAACTAAGAATGTGACCAAGGGACAGAATCAGTGGCAATGGGGTGCTGCTTGTGGCAAATACCGAAGATGACGAATTTGCTTATTTTCTGCAATGTTAACGGGGGAAAGTTTTGACTCATACAACTCTTGACTTTTGATATGCTGAAATAAATTGCAGAAAGAGCTGGGTATGATCATGGCACACAAGAAATGCCTGGCTAGTTCTCTCTAGGTGAACGTGATAACTTTGAATGTTAGCCTTGTCTCTGCTGTATTACTCTCATCTCAGAAAGAAGGGCTATGGGTTTAGAGATCCCACTCAAAACCTGAGCACTTCCACTACTAGATCCCCATGGCAGTACCGTGCATTAACTATATGATGCATCTTATTGCTCTATATTCTGTACTATTAAAAAAGTAACTGCAACATCGTAAGAATGTTACCATCCCTAGACTACACATGCCATTCTAAGTAATACTTCTTCATAAGTGTTCCATTTAAGTCAGTGGAATCCCCTAACTAATATTATTGAAGTGTTAACAACATTAACAGCAGTGATGAAAGAAGATGCATCACCAATCAGGATTATAAGAGATGGACAATAGGTGCAGCCTACAGAATCAGCCACGTTCTAATTACAATTTGGTTTGTACAAGTTATTCTATTTTGCATATATCCCAAGCAAATAATTCATTATTTAAAGCCGTAGCAGGTCCATTAAATGATCCATCTTGCATTGGTCATCATTGTCCAATTATTGATGGGATAAAAAGTCTGTGTGTCCTCTATGAAAAGGAAGGCACTCGATTGGTCAGCTCATCTCCAGATTAGCTCTGGCATTGGAAGTGTCTTGTTTGAAAGCAAACAAGGTTGATCAAAACTTTACACTATTGTATTTAAGCTCCAATCTTAAAAATACATGAATAATCTGGAAAGGAAATGATTCTGATAGTCTCCCGACAACCTCAGATAAATTGCTCCACCTAATATTGTAAATTTTTTGATTATCTGACTGGGACTAGAATTAGCATACTTCCAATAATTGTGACAACTCACATGCAATGCAGTAAAACAAGGCTTTATGAGCATGTGTTGATCAAATAAATTTTCACAGATGGAAGAATAGCTTCAATATAATCAATAGTAGGGAAGGTGGTTAATATCTAACAGATATATTACTAGTCATCAGAAGTCATGTTGGGGTACAGAGTCACTCCACCACTAGGTATAAGAGAAAATATTTGTACAAAAACAAAATAGCATAAGGTAGAGCTACGACTGTGGAACAAAGATAGAGCAAAAAGAGTTTATATTTATAGTCTGCCTTCCAGGACATCCGAAAATACTTCACAGCAAATTAAGCACATTTGAAATGTAGTCACAGTTTTAACAAGCGTGAATGCAGCAATCACACAAAGTCAATCCGGTTTCTCTGTTCACAGAGTCTGCGTACTTTTAACGTTTTCTCTTTATATTTCCGATCTCTCAATTTACATTACATTGCTTTCATAAAATGTTAGTTGGGATGGTTGAGGGACAATGTTAGCCAGGTTAACAGAAGAATTCTGCTCCTCAAGTTCTATCATGGGATCTTTTATTCCCTCAGAGGTGCAGTGAAGTGCCCTGCCTTCCTGTATTACGTGCTCTTGTCTCTGAAGTGGGTCTTGTCTGTAATGACTACTGCGCCCAGATGGCAATATCTAAAAGATGGACAGCTAGAACTATGAATATTTATTGTACTACAAGTTGTTCCTGGTTAGGAAACACTGTGACCAAATTTATTTTTACATTTAAAAAGAAATAAAATAGAGAGAATGCTGGAAAAATGCAAACAGAAAATGGAGTTCATCCAGCATGTTCTGCTTTTATTTATACAGTCTGGCTCTAGCAATGAAATGACTTTGACAACTTTAAAATCAAACTATCACCATACATACAAAGATGAAGACTGCATTGAAAGTCTCTGCATTGGTTGCTCTGGAAACGTCTTTTTGATAGTGTTTCCAAAGAAAGTCCACTGTATCAAATAAAAGGCAAGATTTAACAAATAATAGCTTCCAGTGTCTCGCTGGCAGAAATAAATGTGCGATGATATGCTTCAAAACAGATTCTGGTTCTTGAGTTTAATGCCCAAAAAGGTATTACCTTATAATCCCGAGAAAAAACTGTCACAGGAATTTTAGTCACTTAACACAAACAGCATCCCTGCAGGGATTACAAATGTTAACAGCTGAGTGTGACAGTTTGTATTAGAAGTTTTGATTTATATAATGTTGCAGTGGAGCAAACATTAAACAATTGATACAAGTAGAAATCAGGCATGACATTAAAATAATTCTTCCTTTCAAGGAAACTAAACAAATGTGAAAGCAATGATGCAAATAATGGAATTAAAAAGACTGATAGGCTATTGGATTTATGAAGAAAATGTGATGCCTATTCTAAAAATGAAAGGGAGGGGAAAGAGAACAAGTTTGAGAATTGATCACAAGGATTATCACAGTTACAACAGATGTAAACTTGTCACAAAGTGTAACATGATATTGGAGATTAGTTGCTCATTATAGAAACTTGGCAGTTTCTTCCCAAAACATGCAGACTAGTAAACAAATGTATCAAATATATAAAACTAACCACTTGAAGTCACTGTGAAAAGAAATGAATTAAATATCATGTTTTATCAGCATACACAAAAAACACCATTACAGTCTGATAATAAAAGAATACTTTTTAAAACAATGATTAAAGGACTCATTCCAAGAATTTTTGTAGATAAATAAAACCATAGGTAGACTTTGTTCTCATGTGCAGGAAACTGAGATCTGAGACAATAATGATCTTGCAAGCCCTCAAATATGTTTGAGCAGGTGTCCATACTGCAGGTCTTGTTGAAGTTCTGCTTCTGATTTCAAACCACCTCAGGGTTGCTTCACAGGAAAAGGCACTGATTAACGTTTCTTCCATGTGAACTTCCTGCGGGCTCCCTCCTGACCAGGCTTCTTCCGCTCTCTCACACGAGGATCAGGAGTCAGCAAGCCAGCTGCAAACAGTTGAAATGAAAGTGAATTCAAAAGGTTAAATTTTAAGCTAAAAAGAATTCCCAAAGGTATTGATTCTAAGTTTTACTTCTCCCCACGAACTGATGTGAATGGAAAAAGAATCTAAATGCACATTCGTTTAATCACTACTGTATAATTACAGGTTTAAAAATCAGTTTTAGGTTTTAAATTGTTCAATATTGCAGCAATTGGCCATATGCACTGCATATAATCATGATTTTATTGATACTCATGGTTGGATAGAAATCTCAAAGCAAAAAATAAATGCTAATCATTCTGTTGAAAAGTATACAAGTTACATTGATAGAAATGGACATCTCTACTTCCCGCGGAATCTATTTCAGAGATCAGTTTTTTTTGTTTTGAAGAGATCTTCCAAGATGTCATTTCTTAAGGGTCTGTAATGTATCTGAAGTGAGCAGCTCAATGCTTGATACCATATATCTATTATGTTAAGTATACTGTAATCAGTTTCCAAGCTTTAGTTACCAATCTTACCCAACACAACAACAGTAATAAGGATGCCAACGTTGGCACAATGAATTTTATGTCTGGTTTATCTTTGGCTTTTCCTACAAATTTTCATTTTTCTAAACTAAATATTATGTACTAACCATGTCTAGCACCAGCAGACAGGAGACAAAAATAATCTTCAGTGAAAGACCAGCACATCCTTGTTTGCTGTAGATTTTAAACTCTGGCCTTATTTAAATGGTAAAGCAAGGCCAGCTTTGCAGTAATATTTTCAAATTGCACATACACAATGTAAATGGATGATGTAAATTAGTTTGTAAGTTTAACTGATATTACAGTTACCTTGTCTCATGGATTCCACCTCTTTTTCAGTGATAAAGCTAAGCAAAGCCCTTGAAGAAGCCAAGCGAATAGCTCCTGCCTGTGCAGATGTGCCACCTGAATGCACTGTACATTCCATGTCATGCATTCCTAGTCGGTTCAGGAATTGGAAAGGGAACATCAATTGTTCTCTAGAAATCACAGGGAACAACATGTTAAAACAGAAGTATTATATTTCTATTGATAGCATAATTATTTGCACATGGCACTGCTAATTGTGAATCGGAGATCATACTTGCGAGGAGGTGGTGCACATGGATACTGAATTAAATAAAAGAGAATCATGCAACAATTCAATATTTTGATTGATTCCTGTAAAATTTGAACCTGTAACTTTATTTGACACTAAGTAAATACTAAACACGTTGACTATGACCTATTACATTTTAATAAATATTAATTTAATAAATAATGTCTTTAATAAATATATTTCCTTAAGCACATGGGGCAAATGAAGAAATAAACTTGTTTACTTCATATTATAGCTACAAAAGGAAATCTGAGTTCAGCAAAAATTAATTAAACATAGCTAGATTAACCCGGTTACCCCAGACAAAGTTTTTCAAAAGCTCACATGGATTCACAGTACTAATAATAGTAGCCTTGCTAGTAATGAATAAAAATAAGGCACATTTAGCAGTTGCACAATAGATTGTTCAACGGATTTACATGGTGGTTCTGGGAGCTGCTGGTCACAGGATGGTTGAGTTCTTCTATTCAGCAGCTCCAGGAGTGCCATGAAGGCACTTACTGTATGCAAAAGGAAGAGTTTTTTTGAGGGTGGGGGAGATTCTGTAATCTAAGTAAACAATGCTATTTTTACAAAAACAGAAAATACAAGAAAATACTTTCCACGTCAGGAAGCAACTATTGAGAGAAACAGAGTTAACATTTTAGGTTGATGACATTTTAGGTAGGCAGGTGGTGATAGTGGTGGGAGGAGGGAGAGGAGCAGTTGGGGTTCAGTGGAGAGTTGGGAGTTCAGTTAATAGGTTTTCAATCGGTTTTCAATCCTCCACACTTTCCTGGGCAGCTATTATGCGAGTTGGAACACTCCAAATTTTCTGACCGAAGGAACATTTCCAGACCCATGTTAATTATCCATCGGAATTTCCAATTCTTGGGCAATTCCCTCAGATTCAGCTGCACCTGGACTTCTGCATGGTCTTGACATGTGTCTCCAACATTTGTTGTGGAAATCAATATCTGTCCACCAGAATATCTGGGTCATGGTTTTGAAGTCCTCAGCTCAGTGGTAAATAGAGATAGTGGTCAAACCAATCTTACAAAAATATTTTTAGTGTCCTGTTTAATTGATAACAGTTTGATGAACAATTCTTGTTTGAAGTTTCTTATTCCATGTGCAATTTTGTTAGAGATGCAACAGAGGATGTGCAACTTCTGAAATGTGATGCCATCGAGAGTTTAATTTTTCTTTGGATAGAGAATTGGATGAGTTTTATTGAGCCCTATGATTTAGCAAAATACTCAAGTGGTAATATCCCCCACTAAGGCAAGTCCTTGAGTTGCACAGCTCAAAGTGAATGGAGCCTTGGATCTGGCCGTGTGAGGAATAGATGAGGTGATGCTTATCAGTAGTCTAAAAATATTAACAGAAGTGGGTAGGGGAACCACCCCCATAATCAATGACTAGCTCAATTCCTGGTGCCACAGTATCAGTTTTCAGTATATGTACTTTCAAAATGTTTGGATCCATCTCACAGTAAAATCAATTTTTCCAGAATAAAACGTTACAAGGTCTAAGGCATAATGCCAACCAACATTTATAAACTAATTGTGACAATTGTGGGGATAGATAATGCAAACTATTGAACTGCAATGAACTTGTATGCTATTAGACACTTGCAAAAAAAACCCATAAGATTTTGTCAGAGAAAAGGGTTTGAGGTAGCCGAAACGAAACAATTACACGTGAAAACAAAAAGCTTTGCTTTGCAAATTTTAAATTCCTCTTCCCAAAGCTGCCCATAACGAAGCGCACATGATTCTCAAGTAAATTTTCTTGCATGTCAAAGTGGTACCGTCCCACCAGAATCCATTAGATAATAATTACCTTTCCTGTAGTGATGGAAAGTACAGCAAATAATCCATCCCATTCACTGTTATCTTTCCACTTCCGTGATCTCGTACAATGACTGTTGCTTTTGCTGTTTTCCGTTTACCTAGAGTTAATGTCAGTTATGATTACTAACACAATTGCACTTCAATATTCCTCATTTAAGTACAGATACAAGTGCCGTTGACTAAGTAGTAACTTTTTCAGAAGCTGATAACATTAATGAGAGAACAATTAAGTTAAAACACAATCTGTTAAAAATAAGTAAATTCATTGTTTTACTGGAATTTAAAAAATTATAACCAGACATAGACAAACTTTCTCATCTCCTGAGGCTATTATCTCACTAACTAAAGCGTTTTCAAACTGATTCAAAAGATTTGTCTTTCTTAATTGTACAAACTTTCTATGAAAAAGAGAACTTCCTCACCTATGAGACCAAATGCCTTGCGCCCTGATTTTTTAAAAAAGGAGTTGCACATCCATTCTCAGTGAATGTTGAACCTGATCTACTTCAATACATATCAAATCAGAGCACACAGAGATAGGGAACACAAGTTTGCAGGGGTTTGGGGCTGGAATAACAGGGTAGAATATAAAGCGAGGCCCTCGGAGTAAAGCTTAATTAGACAACTAGAGAAAAGTACACAGGTCTGAACGTAAGAGATAACAAGGTGTAGAGCTGGATGAACACAGCAGGCCAAGCAACATCAGAGGAGCAGGAAAGCTGACGTTTTGGGCCTAGACCCTTCTTTTTCTGAAGAAGCAGGCTATTAATAAACACATTGAACTCGACCCCATATACATTCCACTACGGAGGAAACCCGGAAGTGAGGCAATCCATCGCAACGGACCCCAGAGTTTAAAAACCAGGCGGGAAAACACAGCGACACTTCATCAGAGGCTGCACTGAGGAGGTTACCAAGCACAGTAACGAAACGTCTGCAGAACAACAAACCAGCTCGGCGAGCCAACCAACCTCAAGAGTACAATTTTAAAAGGGAGTGCAGAAGCAAAAGTCCTGAGTTTAAGTGTACATAAATTATTGAAGGTAGCAGGACATAATATAGCAGACAGCATCAAGGACTTAATTAACAGGGTAATACCATCTCAGGATCCCCCACGATCAATATCTTGGGGATTCTCATTGACCAAAAGTTAAAGCTTACCATGTTATACAGAACAACTGTACATTTTTTTCTAATCAACCTGATCAGAGATGTTATTACACACCTCTGGAGCAGGTGGGACATGAACCCAGGCCCCTCTGATGCAGGGGCAGGGACACCACCATTGTGCTACAAGAGGACCCAACACAATTGTACAAATCTCTAAATGTTCTTTAGATATACTATTTAATAGATATTTAGTGCTTTAATTTCACTTCCGTGACTTTCGTCAAATGCTCATATTTGGTTTAGTGAAATAAATAAAAAGGTTCCATATTCAATGTGCTGCAAAGACAGAATCTGTTGGAGTTTATGGTACACATCAGCTGTCAGTCATACTCACGCCGACATGCATGCCTTCTAGTAATGCAGCTGTGACCCGCAACCAATAATGCGGTTATCATTTGTTTAGTTTTCATCACATTGTGAACTTGAGAAATTTCAAACAGTCTGGTTTAATTTATGTTACTGAGATGTCCAGAATCTGTGAACCATATGTATAACCGGAATATATAACATGGTAAAACTCTACGTACAAGATGAAGCATGTCACATAAACAGGTGGAAATTAGCAAAACTCTCTTCTTGACCAATCTTTCTTCTATTAGTTGCTGCCTGTTAACCCAACTTCAGTAGGATTCCTGTCCCCAAAGTACGTAACACAATAAGTAACATGCACATTTCAAAGTTGGTTTCTATTTAGCTGAAAAATATGATGCATAGTTCCACTGAATATTTTTTGGTGACATGCCAGTAGTTGAGAACACCAGAATGGCATTTATTACCACATTATTTTAACAAAGAAAGTGTAGAATTATGGAGAAAACTTCCAAATATCATAAGAAGCTTTGAGGGACGAAGAACCCGCAATGTAATTCTACAGAAACTAGATTTCTTTTAATAGCCAATTGAACACAGCTTGAATTTGCGAATCGTGCACAAAAATGAAACTAAGCATATAAAATTAATGGCATATTGACGAGACTTCAGAGGGCTACAGCACAAAACTAGTTAAAAAGGAAACTGAACCTGAACATATACTTTGCTGAAAAGACAGAAATGAATGCCAGACTCTACTGTAGAGTTTTGTTTTTACCTTCCCCTTTACTGAAAGCTACTCCGTTCTCATCAAACTGCAAAGGCTCAATTATCTGTTGCTTGGACTGATCTTCCATCTTTCTGCGAAATTTCAACACATATTCTTCCTTAATACTGCAGTATGGTAAGGTTAGCATACGCTCCAGTAACCGAAGAAAGTACAGGTACTGTTTAAAACATAAAAGGAAAGACTAACGTTACTTAATAGGTCAGCTATTTATTAAAAAAAGGACAATTGACAATTAAACACATTATCTTCTGTACAGTCCTGCACTGAATGTGGCCTAAATTAGCTCAGGCAATTCCAAAATTGGGACTGGCCTGTGAATAGAGTTGGGTTGGAAGAATGGTTTGGACAATCTGCATTAATATACATTTAACCAATTTTCGAGCAAGACAATAATGAAATACTTACCAAACAAGCTTTGATTATTCACTATGACTGGATAGAAGCTGCATATCCATTGAAAATCATCTCTTTTGACAAAGAATGGAGACTCGACTAACAGCTGATGGATAGGATGCAGACAAAGACTGAAGGTTTCGCACTGGCTATTTTATATTTGCAACTCCCCTGGGAGAGATCTGAGTTATCTTTGGTCTTAATTAATATCTTTATAAATGTTAAAGTTAGAATTCTCACTGGATTATGCACAATATTTAAAAGATTAACTACTGTATTACACTTAAAAAAACTCTACTGCTTAAAAAGTGTTTTCAGACCATAAGATGTAGGAACAGAAGTGGGCCATGTTGCCCACATCTGCTCAGCCATTCAATGAGATCATGACTGACGTGATAATCCTCAACTCCACTTTCCTGCCATTGCCCCATAACCCTTGATTCCCTTAAAAATTAGAAGTCTGTCCATCTCAGCCTGGAATATTCTTAACAACCAAGCCTCAACAGCTCCTCCAGTAAAGTACTATACAGATTTACTATCCTCAGCAAAAAAAAAATGCTCATTTCCACCTTAAGTGCACAACTCCTTATGCCTTCGTTTTAGACTCTGCGCAATGAGAAACAACAAAAAATTCTAAGAACAAAGCCTTCAGTTGTTATACAGGTTCTTAATCCAACTGGAAAGGATAGTTCAGCCGGTAGACAAATCTAGGGATTTCCTAGCTACATGAACCCCTCCTGGATGCATACATCGTCAGAGAGCCACAAGTCCTTTACTTCCTTTTATTAAATCATAGGAGATTGGCTCATGAGCTGGGCTAATATGCATTGAATATCCCTCGACACCCTAGAGAAGGTGGAGGTAAGCTGCCCTCTTGAACTAGGGCAGTCCATATGGTGCAGGGACACCTAGTGTTGTTAGGAAGGGAATTCCAGGATTTTGACCCAGTGACAGTGAAAGACCTGGGACATATTTTCCAGTCAGGATGGTGAGTCGTTTGGAGGGCAGGTAGTGGTGTCTGCCTCTTGTGTCACAATCAAGTGATTGTTGTAAAGGTGATTTTTCTTTTTAAACTGCAAGTTGCAACCTTAAAAATACCAGATAGCTAAAAGATAATTTACATACCTTCAAGACTACATTCACACAGACAGGCAGCTCTTTACCAAAAAAAATTCAAACACCAACATTCAATCATTAATCCATATTTAGAAAATATTGGCAATCTTACACTGTGTGGCTACAGTCATGCAATAGAAACAAGGACATGGACATATGAAAGCACATCAACTGCACAGCAGTAAACATTTAATTATTAAAAGGAAACAACCGGTCCCTGTAGACCAACAATCTACAAGCAATACCTGGATGACTTGAGAAATGACAGCAAAGAAGAAAAAAGACTATGCTTAATTCTTCATTAGCCTCCTTGTTAGGCAAGTGTACAAATGGAATTAACCTAATTATAAGCCAAAGGTCTGTTTATGTAGCATGTTTCAGCTGTTTGATTAACCAGTGTACATATATCTTACACCAAGCAAGATCTATCTGTAAACATTCCATTCAAATATTAACACATTAAACAGTTTAAACTACATTAAAGATATTATGTAAATGAAAATTGTTGTAATTTTACAATAGATTATCTTCTGATTTTATGTTTGGTTTGTCCTAGAACACAAGTTGAAAGTTGTCAGAGCCTACATGCGTTTCCACACAATTAAAATTTAATTGATTTATGAAGCCTAATGGTTGATGTTAAGGTTTTGATGGGCAGAAACAAAATGCAACTTTCCCTGAACAACCTCCGATTCAAATTAACTCCTAGGTTATTTAAATAGATTTAATGGTTGCTCAATTTAATTAGAATAATTCAAATAAACAAACTTTTATGTATTTAAACTCACATTCAAATCTCATTTTTAATTACATTGTGCAGCTTTCTTGAATATTCAATAAACAAATAATGCCTTTTAAGTAGAGACAGATCAATCATTTTGTTAATGTAATTTGAAAGTTTATGAACAAGTCTGTCTTCATACTCCATGTTTTATTCCTTGTTACTTAGATTTTTTAAAATAGCAAGGAAACAGTAAGTATTCTAAACAAAGAAATTACCAAAAAGCCTGACCTTTTGACATTAATTCTGCATTTTTTCACTGCTAACTTGAGCTGAACCAATTTTCACACAGTCTGGTATTGTAAATCGACGGAACCCAAGTTTGAACTGCCCTGATTTATAATCTATATCTTCATTACATCCAGGACTAGCTTTTCCAAGATCTTCCATTCTGGCTTCCTGAATTCCATCTCCTGCAAATTCTAAAACAACATTCTGACACCTGCATTTTGTTCTGTTCACCCATTATCTGGATGCACTGGTCATTTGTCTTTCAATAGATTGAATTTAAATTCCAGACTTCATGTACAAATGTATGAACAACTCTCTTCTCATCCAATTTCCTGCAAACTCATGGCATGTCCTATTACCCTATAATATCAATTCCAGCCTCCAACATATTCAACGCTCATCCAATTTGCACCACTGCGTGTCTGAGAATTCAGGCATCTTGTTTCTAATATTTAGAACTCTGCCCCAAAACTGTCCTAAAAACCCTCTACTTATTTATTTCGTTCCCTTTTGTTAATCCAAATAATTAAGGAAGTGTTTCGAAGTGTATGACACTTTTGCTAACTTTTAACTTATTGCTTGCCATTACTTTTTGTTTCTGTGAAACCCTCAATTCTCATCTCCATTTTGTTGTTACACGATACAAGATGTTAATATATAGTACATACTGACAGGAGTATATCTGGTCAACACTCCTAGCTGGAGGAGATGCATTTTTGTTATGCATTTAATGGATCCACAAGTGATCTGGATCAGTCTGAATTTAGCAGAAACCAATTTCATTTTCAGTCCTCATTCTTAACCTATTGATACAACTTCAGCTCGATAAAGGCTGAATTTTCTTCCTAACCTTCACTACAACCCCCAACTAAATCTTTGTTCATTTTCATTGTTCACAAACATAGAGATACTGTCTACTGAGACAACAAGGTGCAGGGCTGGATGAACACAGCAGGCCAAGCAGCATCATAGGAGCAGAGAGGCTTGCTGGGTTCATCCAGCCCTGCACCTTGTTGTCTCGGATTCTCCAGCATCTGCAGTTCCTACTATCTCTGATACTGTCTACTGTTGGGCTGGAATTCCTTAAACAACAATAATCATCCAGTATCTGACCAGGGTGCACTTTAGCAGCAGCACCAGTAGTTTACTAACTATGCATGGTGTTACAGTTAAATTCAAACAGCCACACACAAACATCTTCCAGCAAGGACTGGAATAATGAACAGGAGCAAATGTTCTGCCTCCAGTGACTCTCAGGGCTGTTTTGGCAGCTGAACACCTGACCTGGTTGATAGCTAGCTGTGTTAGTTGCTACAAAAACAGAAATTGCTGGAAGAGCCCCGCAGGTCTGCGGCATCGATGGAGAGAATTCAGAGTTAACTTTTTGGGTCCAGGAACCCTTCTTCAGGATTGATGTTAGCTAGGAAAAAGTTGGTTTTTATGCAGAAGATAATGTTGGGGGAGGGGGTAAGGAGTAAAATGATAGGTGGAGATAGAGCCCAAAGAGATAGAAGAACTGTTGGATAGACAAAGGAGTGGATAACAAATCAGCCTGGGAGAATGGATAGCTACTAATGGGGACAATTATTGGCTAACAATGGGTTGTGTGTGATAGCAAGCCCATGTGATAACAAGGCCTGGCATTTGGGGGTTGGGGTAAGGACATTAGAGAAGGTGCCTCAAGCCCTAAAATTGTTGAACTTAATATCGAGTCCAGAAGGCTGTAGAGTTCCCAACTGGCAAATGAGGTACCGTTCTTCCACCTTGTGCTGAGCTGTGCTGGAGCAATGCCACGAGCCTGAGACGGAGATGTTGGTCAGGGAATGGGGTGGTGTGTTCAAGTGGCAGGCAACTGGAAGCTCACAACTAGCTGTTCCTGTTCTCTTTATCTTAATACCAACTGAGAGATATATTTACCCACTAAGGTATCAAAACAGCAGTTATGACCAATATTAACATGATTAACACGAATGATCTTACAGAAATACTGACCCCTAAATCAACACAGCAAGAGATGCCTACTGGGACTTCAGCAAGTTAGCAGAAACATGGGTCTTCCATCAAGGTAGCCAGAAATGGCAGGGGGGGAAAATTGGATAACATAAATTTCTCTTTACAGATAAAGAAAACTAAAAATATCTTAATATTAAATATTTGTGCTATGAAAAGGTAATTTTTATTCCAAAGTATTACAGCTTTACTGCAGATTCAAAGAAAGGAACAAATTTTGAGGCTTTGGTTTCAGTTAGGAAATTGCTACGTAATCATTTCATAGTATTTTCATTACTCTGAATATCAATAAAAAAAGGAAGCTTAAATAATCACAGTGGGCATCAAGTATTCAGACATTTAACCAACACTGGTGTAAATTGTTCATTATGGCACTCTAAGCAGCATTCATTGTGCCAGAAAATTTACTGCAGGATCATCAACTATCTTTTCCACACTGTGAGCACCTAAGAGCCAACTTTTTATTATTATTTTTATTATTATTTTTATTATTCCATGTCAACATTTATATTTGAAGATACCTAGTATCTTATCACATTTTTCTCAGGTGATGCACTCAATATAAACATTTTTTAAACACAATGCCCATCCACAATTTGGAATTTGTAGCTTTGAATATTTCTAGTTTTTAGCCAATAGTAAAGTTGCTGGGTTGGAGGAGTCAAATTTTGAAGGATTTTTGAAAATTGAATAATTCAAACTCTTGTGGAAATACCGAGAGAGAACAACAGTAAGAGAGTGAGAAACTTCATGGTGGACATTGGAAATTTCTGGGGCTGGGACCATTCTAAACAGTGGCTGGCTTGGAGAGATTCTTATTTTATATGGTTCAGTTGGAGAAATACCTATCAAGAACAAGCTAAGTTGGAGGAAACCTTGCTAAGAACAAGCTGCCCACTTCTGAAAAGCAAATACTAACTTCGAGTTCAGTGTGAAACCTATTATTTTTTTGAAAGAGTGATCGAAAGAACATCAAGATTATACTACCTGAACAAGTGCTCCCAATTAGTGGCATGTCCACAAGACTCCTGAACACTGTACTCAAGTGTTTGGCCAAAATGTTTCTCTTTTGTTCAAAAAGCCAATGCCTGCAGAAAAATCTGTTTTATTTCCTTGCTTTCCCTTAAGTGTGTGTGCAAGTGAGAGAATGTGCATGCATGTGTACTTTTATATCACAATGTTTGTTAACCATCAAAAACATCTTTATTAAATAAGGTTTGTTTTCATAATGAACCAATGCTTAATAACAATCTCATAATAAACTAGTGTTTGTTCAGAAATCTGATCAATAGATCTTCTTGATTAAAACCTTATATAGACAAGATAGTAAATTGATCATCTTGGTAAATGAAGTACTCTTCATTCTGGCCTGTGGAGAAATGGGACTAGAGTGACAGTGCTCTCCTCCAGTCTTAGTCGTAACAATAAAATATTAATTCTAAGAGAAAGCTCAACAACTTGCATATAAATTTTGTAAACTTAACTTCAGCTGAAATGAAAAGACAGGCTTTCTCCTAGGTTACCGAAAGTTCCTTCCTTTCATTTCCTGCAAATTATTTTCCCCTGCAAATTGATACCGATCGCAAAGGTTAGCATCCAGTTACACTTTCACGCTGTGAAAATCACAACCACTGAACTATAGAACCATTCTACAAGAAAATCTAGTGATATGTTTTGCAATTTTGTTTCATCTTGCAAAAGTCAAATGTTTTAAGTGAAACATAACCTGTTTAATGATTATTACTCACGTCTTGGTCAGAAATGTATTCAACTAGCACCTCCTCCAGTTCTTCTTTCATCAACCATCTACTTCCAATTAAATTTCTATTGGGAAAAAAGAAAGGCATTGAAGTGATTCTACTTAATTCAGTGAAATTTAAAACTGGACCTGAAAATGATCTTAATCAGGTTTACAGTTAAAGGCAAGTACATTGGCCATTTATTAAAAAGGCGCATGTTTAGATAAATTGTGACAAGGAAACTATAACAAGTTCCTAAATATCACAAATCAACTGATACAAAACACAAGTGCATATCTCAGATACCGGTAGGAAGGATACAATGAAAGTGATGCAACAACTTGATTGTGCATTATGAGCATTTTTAAAGAACTTAATCAATGTGAATGAAATACATCAGTAAGATACTTTAATGGCAAACACACAAATTTAACAAAAAGAATGCAATTTGTAATGATACAGAAGGTTGAGTACAATCTACTCTGATAGATGAACAAATGTTAAATTTTGAAATCACATTTTAATCACAAACAAAAACTTCAACAAAGCCAAATACACAGGTCTAGGGAAAGAGCGGGCTGAGGCTGAGTGAGTAAATAGAAGGTTTTACAATAAACAAGCAGTGGAAACAATTTAAAGAAACAATTCAAAACATTCAACAAAATTGACTTCACTGAAAAACAAAAACTTAAAGATCAATCCATGGCTTACTCAGGACGGTGAAGATATTATTAGAGGACAGTTTTAGATTAAAAGAAGAGGCTTATAATGTTGCAAAGAATAGTAATAAGACAGATGATTGGAAGTTAGCAAACATAATATCTCTATTCAAGAAAGGGCAGAGAAGAAAAATATGGAACTACAGGCCTGTTTGCTTAACATCAGTTATTTGAAAAATATGCAATCTATTACTGGAAAGCTTTAATAATGCACTTACAAAAAGTAGTATGACTGGAAGCATAAGAGCAGGAATAGGTCATTCAGCCCCTTGAGTCTGCACCACCATTCTCAATCATGTCTGATCATTTACCTAAATGCCATTTTACCATACTATCCCATGACCCATGATATCATTAACATCTAGAAATCCACCAATTTCTGCCTTGAACCTATTCAATAACTTGAGCTTTTATAGCTTTCCAGGATACAGATTCCAAAGATTTATTATCCTCCAAGGGAAGACATTTCTTCTCATCTCAGTTCTAAATGGCTCATCCCTTTATGCACACATAGTCCCTCGCTTCTTGACCCTGCACCCCCCTCCCCACACCAGCTAGGGAAACGTCCTTTCTGCAGCCACCCTGTCTAGATCTAAGGATTTCCTAAACTTAAATAGGATCGCTTAATTCTTTGAAACTCTTGAGAACGCAGGCACATTCTCCTCAATGTCTCCTCACATAACAGTCTCGTCATTCCCGGAAATAGACTGGTGAACCTCTGCTACACTTTGTCTTTCGAATGTATGTATTTAAATGGGCCCAAAACTGCAAAGAACACGCCACTTCATCTCACTAAGGTTCTCTAGAATTGATGCTAGACATTTTTACTCCTGCATTCAAATTCTCTTATAATTAAGGCCAAAAGATTAGGACAAGTCAACATGGTTTAGCAAAGGGAAATCTGTTTGACAAACTTAGAGAGTTTTGAGGGTGTAACTAGTAGATAAAGGGGAACCAGTAGATTTTATACATTTGGATTTCCAAAAAACATTCGATAAGGTGTCACAAAAGAGTTAGTACACAAGTTGGCAGTGTTATATTAGCATGGATTGGGGATCGATTAATGGACTGGAAGCACAAAGTAGACATTTTTAAAGTTGGCAGGTTGTGATTAGTAGGGTGCTGCACTGATCACTGCTTGGTCCTAAGCTATTTTTAATCCATATTAATCACTTAGATGAGGAGCCTTAGAGTGACAAGTTTTCTGATGATGCCCAGCTCGGGGAATGTGAGCTGAGAGCTGCAAAGATAGATTAACAAGGTTTGAGGTAGAGTATTTCAGAGGTTATTCACTGTTTTTTTTTGAAAAGGTATGAAACTTGTAAATGTTGATTTTTGAGAGAATTTAGATGTGCACGTAAAAGAAATTGGCAATGCAGGTGCAGCAAGCAATTAGGGATGAATGGGCTGCTCTATAATGAAAGGCTGAAAAAAAAAACTGTATTCTCTTTCTCGGAAGTTTAGAAGAATGAGAAAAGTGATCTCTAGGAAACATTCAAGACTATAGTGGGGCCTGCCAGGGTGGATACTGAGAGTTTTTTCTCCTTGCTGTAGAATTTAGGAAAAAGGGGCACACTTCCGAATTAAAGGCGTAACATTTAGGGTTGAGATGAGGAGAGGAGTCTATAACTGTTGTGAACCTTCGGAATTCCATACCCTAGGAATTATGCATATACCATTATTGAATAACATTGGAGACTGAGATAGATGAATTTTCAATCTCTGAACAAATCAAAGGATATGGGAAGGGGCAGGAAAATGGAGTTAAAGCTCATGATTGACAAGATCAAGTTGAATGTTGAATTAGATTAAATTGGTCATATAGTCTCCCCCTGTTCTTTTTTATATCCTTAGGTGGTGATGTAGGTGCTTAAAACCAGACACTGGAGGTTGGGTAGAGGGGGGGATATACAGGCAGAGGAGAAAGGGAGATAGCGGGGGTGGTGGGGAGACAGGGGTAGATTTGTGTATTTGTTGGAATTTGTTGCTAGGCTTTCTGGCTTAATTTCCTGTTTATTAAATTCTTCCAATACTCCCCTTCCTTCATTAGTCCCTCCTAATGCGCCAAAACAAGATAATGCTCCTCCTTCCAGGGTGCTGCTTTTATTGATAAAGATTTGGAAATTTCACAGGTTCCTTGCCCTCAAACAGTTTAGTTATACAAAACACAAAAATCTTGATCCCTTTTGGAGTATGGGATATCCTCATATACCAATAGTATTCATGGTATATCTTACCAAATTAACTAAAAAACAATTATTAGTACAGAGGCCATACCATACCATAAAGCAAAAACTGCATCTTAGACAGTAACAAAAATAAAATGATTTACTCCAAATGCTTGGAATTCATCAGCAGCAAGTTGTGAGAAAGTTGGAGAAGTGAAAAGACACAGGAGTTAATAACAGGACAAATGTTATTATGTTCACCAATTCCCATCTATTCTAGATTCACAATATAGGGCCCAAGGGGTAAAATATTGCAGTTGACAAAAATTTGCATCTCTACCATCTATATTGCAGAGCACAATATCTTCAGCAATTATTTCTGTTTGTTCAGTGGCATTAATGAGCTTTTAGTGCCTGATTACTAAAACTATAGTTAGATAATCCACAAATGTGACATGTAGAGCAGCACCAGATCCACAAGATGTCCTTTCCGTTACTTCTGAAGATGTCATTTGGCGTCATTCTTACTGAAATCCCCAACCTCAAGAAAACACCAGATGGCATTGTTGTGCAGAACAGGATCAACATTGTAGCAAATTAAATTACAACGGTGTCAACGATTCATTGCTAGGCACAGCAGGCAATGCATTTGCCTCAGTGAGATAAACAATGACATAACCTTAATGTTCATGGGAGAAAGAATACTTTGATGTATGGACAGTTTCCAACATGCCCATTTCTGACAGACAACTTAAGCTTTAAAAAAAACAAAAAAATTACATTTTAGGTTTTGGTGACGAAGTATCATGTTTCAAGGGACTAAAATCAATTCATGGATGCAAGAACGTACATATGGGCATTTTCAAGCTACCTTGATTCATACGAAACCCCCATTTTATCATTTCTGTGGAAAATGAATAGTTATGTTTAATTATTGAAATTACAAATTGGTGCTCCAAGCCAAAATTTGCAAATAGAATTGATGATGCAAGACAGAACGTGCAAACACATGTTAAAGCAATTCTTGACATGCCAAATCAACAGTTCTGAACGAATACTCATTTTTTAAATTTGGTGACAATCCAAGGTATTAAAAGTGACAAATCACTGATTAAGGACAAAAACAATTTGTATAGGCAAGTTCCATCATATCCGATTACAAAATCGGCTTGTTAAAAAGCAATTCATCTGGAGTAAATACATTTATTGGGGTGACAATTTAGTACTCAAAAAGATGCATTAAAATAAATCACCTTTCACATGATGCAAATAAGACACAATGCTGGTGACGGAAATAGAATGGCAAAGTTGTGCATTTGAAGACCAGAATTTCATAATACTATATAATTGTGCTCTTGACTGAATTATCTGACTACAAAACAAAAACTGATAATGTAATATTAAAGAGCCAAGGAAGTTGGTCGAAGAATAATTCGCAGACATTTTCCACTGCGAAGGAATGGCAATTCTCGGAATCATAAGATCAGCCAAATGATGCAAGGTCCTGTTATAGCTGTAGGCAAAATAGTAAACATGTGAAATTATAGCTATTCTTATTCCTCGGGAGTATATGATCGTAAGTGTGCCAAAGAATTTAGAAACATTGTTGTAAAGAGCACAACTTTTATTTTTCTTTATTGTTGATTATGAACCAGAATGGGAACTTCTTCAAACCAAGGAGCGCAGAAGGAATTGCTACATTTTTAAAAATAATTTATAAGAACTCACTGCCGGTTACTTACACTGTTGTTACATTTGAGCAATGGGAGAATAGATCTAAGAGGCCACACCACTGGGAGCGTGAGAGAGAGTGAATCTTGCCTAGGATAATTGCTAATTGCACAAACTACAAGACTAACAGTAGATGCACAAAATCATCAGCATGTTGACAACTATAAGCGGCTCATGAGCAGGTGAGCAATTTGAGCATTTACGAGATTCCATACTGCAGAAAAGACAGGGTTCCTCTTTGTGGTGAAGTAAATAAAACCAGAATGACAGCTGGATATTCTCTCCCACCCATTGCCTCTAACCAGTGCCTAAAAGACGACTTCACAATTAGTGTGCCAGCCACCCTGGTGCTGTGAGGCAGCAGTGCTAACCTCTGACCCACCGTGCCACCTATAAATTCATTTATTTATATTTAATAGCGTTAAGAACAAAAACCTGGTAAGTGTCTTCTGTTAACCAGAGTGTAT